CCTACGCCAATGTGTTTGACCCTCGCCCAGCACAACCCAAGCTTCGACACTGAACTTGTGGTGCGTTACAAGTCCTGTCACAGTCACTTTAGTTGGCTCGATACGAGCCACGCGAAGAGGCTCGCTGCTCGGAGCAGGACGCTAGATGCTTGCTCGCGCGCCCGGCGCGCGCGTCCGTGGAGCCATACCCTTTTTCATACTGACAAAGTAAAGCAGATCGCCACGAGAAGTGCTCGCTGAAATTGAAAAGGTTGAACGACAGACAACGGATGAGTAAAGCCACTTCATGTTTTAGGATCAGCGCAAGGCGCGTCGATGCAAGAGGCACGCGCAATGTGTAACTCTTGGGAACATTCTAGCGGAACTGCGCAGACTGCGCTAGATTTGAGACAGAATGTTCTTTCCAGAATTGGCGCGCGGCATGTGTCTCGAGCATTTCCACAACAATGAATGGCGCCACTTTTCCCAGGATAGGGGGCCTTTACGGATGAGAGGAGAGCCACGTGACGGGCGCCCCGCTGCGGCGAGACGCCGAAACACACTACTCCCACGCAATGAATTGTCGCTCCTGCTCCTCGCGTTCCTCGCGCTGCAGCTTCGCTCCTCGTCGGTTTTGAAAACCATGTTTCGGGTCCTCACCGCTGCAAAAGCTATGCGCTGACGTCGAGGTCCCACAGAAAACTCTGTGTTACCAGATCCTCGCGCTCCAAATCTGCGACCGCGCACTTTATGGCTCCGGCGTCGAACTGCCAGCCGTTGTGAGTATAGAGCAGGCTATGGTGGAGCATGACCATTGCATCACGCTCCTCCCTAATTGAGCAGTTTCTTTCATGCATTTTTAAGGCCCTTATATGTCCCATCGTTGAATCAACCTTCAAAATCCTTGAGCGAAAACACGTCGGCGACGCGAAAGTACCAAAACGCTTACGTGACCATTCAGGCGAGTTAGAGGCGATGAAATTAATAACGATGACAAAGCGAATGAAGAGGAATCAAACTGAATTAAGAGGAATCAAGGTGAGTTAAGAGGAATTAGAGTGAATTAAGACTAATTAAAGAGAAGTAAGAGTAATCAATGCGAATTAAGAAGGACTATAAAGCGAATTAGGAGGGATCAAAGTGAATTATGAGAAATTAAAGTGAATTTATAGGAATTAAAGAGAAGAGTAATGAAAGCTTATTAAGAAGGACTACAATGTCAATGAAGAGAAATTAAAGTGAATTAGGAGAATTAAGAGGATGACAAATGAATTAAGTGAATGACTTAGCGAATTTAGTGGATGACTAAGGACATTTTTATGATTACTCAGCACATTGCAAAGTAAGGCTAAGCACAATGAGAAGGATGACTCAGCACATCAAGAAGGATGACCCAGCACAATAAGAGAGGTCTTTAATGCATTGGCGCTTGGGCTTTCGCCTTCAACTCGTCTTAGAAATAACATAGCAGACACTATGAATTTCTATTACGCATTTTTCAATACGAACTACTTTGCAGGAGACACGCACTGTCAGTTATTTACGAGGACATCTGTGTGGTGCTTATAGCTGACATCAATGAACCTCCACAGGTCTTCTATGCACGAACTGCTGACTTTTCTTCCACGCTTTTGACACACGGTGTGATCATTCAATAGGGCCAGATGAACGAGATCCTGGCTGCTTGCAAAGGGAGGATTTTCAATAAGGACTTTTAGCTAACCTTTACCGCGTTACGCGGACCGCACCACCTGATTTGATGAAGCATGCTTTTAAAGAGGCGATGCAACAATTTTTGAACTTTACCCAAATACCGCTTAAAACGGGTCGCTGACACAAATTAAAGAAAAACGAGCACCGTTCACCCCCTCAAAGCCAGAACAAGCGGCCACGTGATCTGGAGCCGTCTATATGCCGCCAATGTTGATCATAGCCACACAATGGGGCTGGAAAAGCACAGGACACGCGCCGAGTTCCAGATATTGTTATGGCTCGGCTTTTGTCGTCGTTGCAGCGATTGGACACGGGCCACTACCCGAATGCATGTCGAGGCATCGATTGTCACGAGCCCAGATCGAATGCGTACGCATACTTCGCGTCCACTGTGTAAGCAGCATTTGAATATCGTCACCGCACAGCTCGATGACGCATTCCGGGGATCGTACTGTTGCCATTGTCCCCATAGCTCCGTCATCAAATTTCGCGAAGGAGCAAAAGGCGGCTTTGGGAGGAGAGGCTGAAAGAAAAGCTCCGCTTTCATCCTTTGAATTCCGCCGTGACGAAGACTCTTCTTGGTCAGTGGTGTTGCGTTCGAGTATTCTTGGGTGCCACAAGCGCCAGGAAGCTGGTGTAAAGTAAGAAATATTCCTACCCAATTTCGTTGCACAGCCCCTTTAAACGCGCGCCTGGGTGATGCCGTAACCACGGTGCGCGTTCATAAAAGCTTGGTTCAAATGCTCCGGAAGTGCGCTACGCGGAACGTGGTAACAGTTTGCTAAAAGTCCCCAACGATAAAGTTACTGCATTTTGTTAAAATGTTTGCTGAATGCAGGAGCTGGTTGACCTGCATTTTTGTAATGCTGGCGCCACACACGCGACACAAGAAAAAGAGAGGACACAGGGCGAGCGCTGGAAGCTGACGTATAAACGTCTGCCGAGTAATCGACTTAGGTGTCAGCAGCCGTCTTGGGTTCCCTCTTGTTCTTTTTTCTCGAATGTCGCACAATTTCTGCTCCATTAAACAAAACAAAAAACCCAACGCGAAAAAAAAAAGAAAAAAAAAGAAACGGTCCAAGTTAGGAGGGATCATGACGCTGCGGTCATGCTACACGGACGCACCCGCAAGCAGCTGGCTCCTGCTGCGAGCGGCGAGCTTCCTCGCGTGGCTAGTGGTGAGCCAACGAAAATAGCTGTGGCACTTGCAGCGAACCACGGTCGCAGCGTCGAAGCATGTGTTGCGCTGCTCGAAGATCAGACACATCGGATTGGAACGCACACCCTGGCAGCGCCCTACTCTCCAACGCTGTTTTTTATCTTTTTTTTTTTAGTTTTGAAATGCTAGGCGCGGCATGTGTCGACGGCCACGCGATCCGCGGTTCGCCATTCTTTCAAGGTGATAGTATATAAAAATTGAGCAGCCCTGTTTTCATGGACAGTACAGTCACGGCGATAGCTGCGACACGTCTCGGCGAAGTCGGGTAGTTTGATTTGAAATCGAACACATATTGATAAAAACAGGGTATGGTAATTACATGCATGCAATCTCTTCCCTGTGTCTTTTGGGGCGCGGAGGACGTTAGAAGGGGAAGTTACTCGTCGCGCTAATTGAATATTTATTTAAAATCTAATAATTCATATAGCCTCTAAAGAAATCAGGGTTAGTACTACAGTTTTAACATAATCGATCGAATTAATAATAGATGTTAATTAATGGGGTTTAGTTAATTAATTTACTGCGGTTTATGTGAAGGCGCTGGATTAAGATATATCAACTATTCACTTTGAAAATGTTAATTATATGTCAAGTAAAAGTAATATTTTGTCAGCCTGTTCGTGTTTATGTGACAGCTATCGCAGTTACCGGCCAAGTCAAATTCAAAACTAAGGCTGCCATATATAGCGATCACGTGAACGTGGTATGCGTAGAGGAGGGTACGTGAATGGGTTGGCTCTTGTGTTACTGCTATTTGTGGGTTCTGTTTGTACGCGATAGTTCATTGGATCGTATTTTCCCGCTTTGCTGTGTATTTAGCGATTGAAGGACGAAGTAAATATCAGCGACACATTTCGCTCTTTCTATTTATTCGCAACCTGAAAAACCATGAATTTTTACAAACCTCCAAACAAAAACATTCATTTTTACAATAAAATCTTTCTGTTTTATAAATAGAGAAACTGCTTTTTCACAGCTTCCACAAAAAAAAACCGTTTTTTCCAAAACAAAATGTTGATTTAAGCCAAAGAAACAATTTTTCTACGAAACTGGGCGACAACAATTGAGTAATTTTACAAAAAGAAAAAAAACAACAACAACCGGAAAGGTTATTTATTAACAAAATTACGGAAACAGAGAAACAGACGAAAACACTTCGTCTAAGATAAAATGCCCTAGCGTTCTCACGAATATCGGGGCGAGTGTCCTTTGTCATTGCACTCGCATATTGTCATAATCACATGTGCAATGCTCAGTCTTCTGCAAAGTCTGAATCTGAGAAAGTTTACAGGTGATTCGATTTGTGCCCAATGAGTTGTCTGGGTAACAAGTTTGTAATGTCATAATTAGCAATAAATTACATTTAAAACGAAAGTATGCATTCATCAACCTTGGAAATATTTTTTGAGTTTCGCTATAGGTTGAAATTGCGTTTTTAAAAGCCTTTTTTTGTTTATTTATTTATTATTTTCTCATTTATATTGTCGTAACACTTTATGGGCCCTCGAGACCGCGAAAGGTCCTCAGCACGGCCCCTTAGTCAAAAGGTTTGGAGACCCCTGATTTAGAGTATCATGACACTTCAGACACGTAGTAGCGCAAAAGCAATGTTGCCTGTCATCATAATGTTTGCCCACGTGGCTGACGGATGATTTGACAGTGAGTTTTGTCGACTAGCTCGCTATAATGGCTCACAAATGAGCGAAAGGTTACCAGGACGATCTTGAATCACCGCTGCTTCAAAACCCGCATTGCACAAGCATAACTGGCGCAAAACAGCGCTCATTTGACTTGTAATCCAACGGACGAACGAGCGTGTTGGCGGCATTGGAGAATGGTGGAGCAGAGTGCGGCTAATCTGATGGTAGTTCTCTCGTGACTCGCAGCCGACAGCCGGTACATCCACCAGGGCGTGTGCGACTACTGCCTGTTCGACGGCGAGGGCAACCTGACCAGCTACAACTACCCGCTCGAGTACCCGTCCAACCTGGACTGCACGTACCGGGTCAAGCGCGTGGGAGGCGCTTGCGCACTCGAACTCACCCTGCACGACTTCGACGTCGAGGACTCTGAGGACTGCCGGAACGATTACCTCAAGGTCGACGGGAAACTCTTCTGCGGTTCGCTCAAGCACCGGGGACGCCGCGGTGAGTCTGCCTCAACGCCCGAGGGAGGACGAAAAAGGGGGCTTCGTGGATTAGGAAGGAGGGGAGGCGCTCTTCTTCAAAATTTAGAAATAAACACCTCTTGAGTAAACGGGACTCTCTCTGACGCGGTATCACAAAGGTATCGTAGAACGTGCATTAGTTGAAATCATTCTTAACAATTAATTTAACGCCATTAAGGGCATAAAAGCCTGTCTCAGGCGCTTACACATTCGCGGCTACAGCTTTTCAGTACCATCATTTTGGGTAATACACTGAGTTGTACCTCAAAAAAGGGTGCGGCTGCACGGAGCACGTTTGATATTTTTGAAGGTGTGAAAAAATAGTGGGCGGCTGCTTTGAACACTCTTTATATTTTTAAGATGCGAAAGGAGCGACGAAAAGTGTACCAGAGTAAACGAAGCCGAACGCCCTTTCTGATAGGAATTCGTAATTAAAAAAAGCAAGTTTAGCGGAGGTGGTTCTAGCGACTTTGCTGAATATATTTGGCTCGTACCAATCCCCTCTACTTGTAGATGTATTGATTGGAGTTAAATACTGTTTTTTTTCCGGGAAGACTTTCGAAAATTTATAAACATAGGTTGATCATGAGAAAAAGAAACCCTTACTGGAACAGACAGCCAACCGCGGAGGACTTCGAGGATTGTTGCTGTTTTTTTTTTTGTTTTGTTTGTTTGTTTATTTTATTTTTGACGCATTTGTCAAGGTGGTTGAGACAAGAGGCAATTAGAATCGCCTCATTAGGTCCAAACCCCTGCTGCACCACTCAAAAGCAGAAAACAAGATGAGAAAAAATAAAGCACTTCGCAATACAAAACAATAATTCAATTTTCTCCCCAAAGGAAAAAAAAATTACAACACAACTTGCTAGGCATATGCACAAAAAATAGAAATAATCGCTGCGATATTACAAAAAAAAAAGAAGAAAACATGGAAGGGATTTTTTGGGCCAACTTCTATACTGGATGGTGTTTCTTTCAAATGTTTGTTATCTGAGAGGATCATTTTTGGGACCGTAATTGGTTCTATATCTAGGCCTTGGAAACTGCTGACGTCTTAAATTGTAATTTGTTTGCTTTGATAAATATATCTTGTTAAATATGTCAGGATTAGCGCTAGTTTTAATATGAATTAAAATAGCTACCCTTAGCCGGAAGCGGATATTTATTCTTAGTATTTTTGTTTAACAAAAACTAGGTGAGATCGAATCGAACCATGGTAGATTATCAATTAAAGGGCAACTCCGCTCAATTCCAAAAAAATTAGGCTTTCATGTGATTCACATTCACAAAGCACTACTAAACAACTCTACGTCTTCGGATTCGCGAAATGTGGAATATTATTTATGGAATCCTAATTTAAACATCAGCAGATACCGAAACCGAAACTTTGGTTGCGTCAGGCAACATTGGTCTCGGGTCGTCAGAGTCATGGTCACGTGACGTCGAACCACGTGGTCTTGTGACGTTCGGGAAGGAGCGAGAAACAGGACACGCGACGCAGGCAGGTCTTTTTGTTTTTTATTATTGGACGCGGGTAGGTCGCTTCGCATGGCGTGGACGGTGATGGCCCGGGGGAGAGGAGGAAGGAGAGAAGACGAAAGAGGAGAAGGGGAGATGAAAAACAGACCGATAAGCGCGCAGAGCAGCGCAAACTAGCGCATCCGCGTTACGGTGATCACGTGAACGCCCGGTCAGCCAACACCGGGAGGAGAAACTCATGACGTCGTCGTTCAATTTCGCTCTGAGAAGTAAAAACAAACAAAACGTGAGAATGACGTAGTCATGCTTCTGTCGTAGTGGTTCAACGTTGGCCGCTCCAACTCCGTGGCATTGACTGCGCTGATGATTGCGCCTCGCGCCGCACGCTAGAGTTGGCCGATTTCGGCGACTTGGCTCGCTTGAAGGTTTGCTGGCCAGTTTACTAAATATATAAACGGACTTAGATCGTAATATTTGACATGGGGTCTTCCTATATGATACTGAAGAGGGCTACATAGTTTTCTAAATATCAAAAATGAAGCGGAGTTGCCCTTTAACCTAACCGCACGTTTCTGGAATGTAATTGTTTAACATTATTTCCTGTTGTTGTCCCCCAGATAAATGCACAATAATTCAATCATTCATTCATTCATTCAATCATTTGCTTATTTTTTTTGTGCTCATGAGCAGCTTTCGCCTTTGTACTGATGCACAATTAACATACAGCGAAAAAATAATTAATTCTGCAGGTTTCCAAGAGAAAATTTGAACGCTAAAAAAGATGGGTTAAAATTTATAAATTTGTAAGAGAAAACTTGAACGGCTGAAAAAGATAAAGTGAAAACGTGAATGCAGGAAGCATCGAAAGTATTACACAAGGCCTGAATGCGTGTCATGGGGCAGGTTTGGAAGAATTGATTGACATAAAATGCAAGAGAAATTCGCAAAAAATCTTCTCGGAACATGAATATTTATCGCTGAAGTTAGGTCAGGGCAATCAATGACTCCGTGAAGGCATTTGAACAAAAACATGAGATCTCTGTCGCGTTGTCTTTCACTCAAAGTAGAAGAATTGCATCGTTAACAAAGTCTCTTATATTCAAAGAAAACACTGCGACCGACATACCGGTCGTAAAAAATTTAAAAGAGACGTTTCTGGGCATTTTCAATTGACTCTTGGTGCGTACGCCCAATACAATTCCAGACAACAAAGGAACTGCATAATACAGGCCGACATGATAAACTCACGTATAGTTCGGCATATAACACCCAACGTACAGACAATCTTATTGACATGTAGATTAAATGACAGAAAAGAGACTATATAAAGTCCAAGAGCACGAGTGCAATCCGCCCTTTGCAATGGGACACTGCCAAGTTGGTAACAGAAGTGCAGAAGCCTTAGCTTCATAGCAAATGACATAACAACAGTTTTAGCGGGGTTAAGTGTCAGTCTGTTAAGACTACACCAATGCAGCCTCGAGTGAATCAGAGATGTATAAAGCTATCGTTTTAACCGATTTCTGAGAATATATTTTAATTTAAAAATTAGTCTGATAGATCTAGACTTTTCTCTACGGAGATGTTTCACTTCAGGAGTCTAATGTAAATTTTCATGGAGACTAACACAAAGATATTTTAAGAACTCCACGCGTTCAATATTGAAGATTTTAAGATATATATTAATTGTGGTTGTAAGAGGTTTATTTTTTTATCTATATAGTATATACTTTGTCTTGGACATATTTATTTCCAACTGATCAGCCCGTTACCATCTGTGAAATTGGCCCAGCCAAGTATTTGACTCTCTCTATAGGGTATCCAAGCGATTTCCGGTGAAAGAAACAGCAATATTCGTTTCATCTGCATATACAGTTATTATGGAGTGTGTGCATGATATTTATTATATCGTTAATGTAGATCAGGAAGAGTAGTGTCCCGAGTATTGATCACTGCGTTCAACAAACCGAATTTCGCTAGGGGGAAGAACGCATCATTAAGGACAGTATTAAAAGCGAGATGTAAACTGTGGACCAAACTTAAAGGGGCGGTGCAACGATTTTATGATTAAAAGAATTTTCATCTCGTCATTTTTACGTTGCTTATCGTGTCCCAGAGGATAGAGAAAACAATTCCTTTATTAAAAATGTCGCGATTCCGCTGCATAATCGCAAAGCAAAAGTCGAGCTTTTTCCTCCACCTGCAGCCCCAAGTGGCAGCCGAAGGAACTACGGCGGAAAGATTACGTGACCTCGCTCGGCTCTAAGCTGCAGCATAGCGCCCGCTAATGTACGCAGAGAGAGGGAGGGGAACCGTCCTCCGACATAGCACACGGGAAGCTACACGGCACTCCGAATGACGTCACTGGGAGTGCGACCAGGTGTGACCCTGAAGGCTGGGAGTGAGTTGAGGGGTGCCCGAAATGCCAATCTTTATCTTTTTTTTACGCAACAACTAGGACACGCAGGCGAAATCGGTTTTCTGTTCTTTACTTCAGAAGTGTCAGGGGGCAACTTCCAGAAATCTTTGACCGAAGTCCGAAAATCGTTGCACCACCCCTTTAATGTGGTGCCTCTTACTCCAAAAGTGATCATTTCCAGAGTAGTATGTCGCGTTTTATAAAGTCGAAGACCCCTCTGAGGTCTAAAAAACGCCTAGTGTATAACCTTGTTTTTTTATTTTACGTAATATATATATATATATTTTTTTTTATATTTCGGAATGTCATTCAGGGGTATTTACCTCTTTGGAATCCACATTGAATACTTGTAAAAATGTTATTCTTATCACAAAATTTACTTATACTCCGTTTCAAACATAGCGTGCAACGTAGTCAAAGCTAGCGCGCCGGTTTGCACAGCCGACCGCGACTTCTTTCGCTCCACAGAATAGTGCGGCCCCTGGAAAAAAAAAAAAAAAAAAAAGTCGAAAAGTGTACATCTTTGTAGCTAGTAACTAATAGTGGCGTTATGATTTCGAGGGAACACCGATTCTTTGTCAATAAAAAGGAAAACATAATATAAACTACTCCAAACTATTTTCCGTTTTCGTTCGTGCGGCACTCGCACTCGCTTCGGGTTTTCGGGTTATGCGGCTGCCCCTGCCTCGCCGGTTTCGTGAAGATGGCGTCTTATGCGGGAAGCTTTCTTTTCCTGCTCGGATATTTTGGAAGATTCGTTGTGTGAAGATCTCGCAAAAGTGCAAGCAGGTGATCGCCAACGTGTACGCGAGTTCAAGAACGTGTTTCCCGGAGACGTCGGTCCGTGAGGTCCTGGAGACGGTCAGTAACGACACCGGACTGTCTGGCAAGGTGGCGTCCCCGAAGCGAAGACCTCGCAACGTGAAAGTTCCGAGCACGCGGACAGTGTTGTGAACTGCCACCTGTTATTTCTGGTGTTGAAATCGGCCTTATGGCTTCAAAGTGAAACAAGCCTCAAGAAGGAACTGTGTCGGTGATGAATCGTGCCTACGGCTCCGTCTGCTTGCGGGACCTTACAGCAG